GAAGACCCTCGAGCACGACTACTACTACTACTTGTCTCAATCCGAGGCGGGGGGTGGCCACGACACTTTTCTCAATCCGAGGGGGCCACGACTACTTCTACTTTTCTCAATCCGAGGGGAGGGCGGGGCACGACTACTACTACTTTCTCGGGGGCGTCCTGATGATGTAATATGGACCGGTATTTCTCAAAGCAGCATACAACATTCGCAAGTCTTTTTGACCCCTTAGGCTGCCCCGTACTTTGCTTGATCTTCACGAAGCCGCAGGAAAAGGCTCATCATCCCAAAGATCCGTTGATTTCCCCGACCAGCTCTGCGGAAAGCTGCAACCAAACGGTCAATCTCAGGGAGAGAAAGGTCCACTCCTCTTTGCTGTGCACGAACCCCTAGCCTCTTCCACGCAAAGTCATGATCAACCCGCCGTAGAGCAAAAAACTCTGCTAAAGTCAGAAGCGTATCTGATCTTAAGGACAAACCGCGACGAGCTACATAATCTGCAATTTGATACTCAGGCCTGGGATCCTTTACATCCAAAATCAGCAATGCTCGAGCAAGTTCAGCTGCCATGTCCTGATTGAAAGTGTGGTCTAGTCTAAGCTGGCGCGACTCTTCACACAGAACTTCAAGCGGCTGCCCCTCTGGGCACCACTTCAGCAACGCAAGGGAACTCCAAATACTTGTAATGCCCTGCGCTGCGAATGCAAGCGTCTTTCCTTCCATGCCCTCAAGAATTACCAGCAGCAGCCATTCAAGGAACCGCTTGTCACCAGGAGTGAGCTTGCTGATTGCCTTGAGCAGCATACATAGGTTGTGACTGGAAACGTCCTGAAGGTGTTGCCCCATCAGTTTCTGCCGGGCAGCCTGCTTCACTGCCAGAATCTCTGCCGGGGCTGCACGATCCACGGCTGCCAAACCCCAAGAAAACATTGCCAGGTCTGAAAGTGCAAATTGTCCAGTTTGAGCAGAAACAGCACCTCCAAGTGCTGTCCATGCCTGATCTTCGTGAACCAGTGTTCGCCCCAAACTCCATGCACAAAGCGCAATCTGCTTCGGGGTCATGCATGGCACACGGGCTGTCATAACTGGCAAAAGCCTCCACACAGCTGGGGCGTAGCACATTACCCCGTAACGGTGTAAAAGTAAATGAATGCTTTCCGGAAAGTCTTTCTCCACCCTTCCCAATATTAAGTTGTTGTATGTTTGGAACTGAGGCAGCGAAGTGTGAAATCGTTTCCTCAGTGTCAGAAGCGTCAAGGATGCCAACCAGTCTCTTTTGGCAAAGCGCCCTGCATTCTCCACGCAGAAGTTCAAAAAATCTGGAGCTTCTGAGTACTCTGCCATTTCTCTTGCCAGCAAGGTGTCGCATTCCCATCGTAAGATCTTAGCACCTCTCTTGGCAAGAGCGGAACCCCTCAGCAGCAACCACATACTGCTCTTCGTGCACCTCAGCCACACCAGCTTCTGGACCAATCAAGGGGCTAGAGTTTCGGCTGGGCTTTAGCTCATGAACGCGTAGGAACAAGGCTGTGACACTGACAAATTCAATCTGCAGGTGACCCAAAGGAGAACATTTGCAAGAACACCCTTAGAACTTCAGTAAAGGTGCTCTAAAGACATGATGCCTGGTTTAATTTCATCAAAAATCACTGTGATTTGCAGTCTTATCTTGCATGGTTTTCCCACGCAACGTAGATTTCGAGAAGCAACTGCCGAAACAACAGAACAACTGCACGCGAACATGTGTCAACCTGGGGCTCTGGGCTTGGCAAAGCCCAAGACAAGCGTCAAGGTTCTGCATTGAAACACAGCACTAGAAAACGGGCGGCAAAGGAGCGAGAGCGGATGATGATGATGATGATGATGAGAGGAGGAGGAGGAAGAGGAGGAGGAGACGGATTGGGTGGCGTGTGTGTGTGTGTGTGCGTCACGCTCTGTCCCAAAGAGCTTTTGTTAAGTGCAGGGGGCACAGGCCCATCGTGGATACCTGTGCCAACGAAGCTGTTCCACGATGGGGGATGCGGAGATTGATCGCCTCCCTGTACTTGCTGAATTTTTTACATGCTGCGACTCCACTTTCCCACGCTTTGATGCCATGGTTCTTGCATGATACTTCCCCCAAACCCTTTCTTGCAGCTGGGCCGCGCTGACAGTTCGACACCGCCGAATTCTGCAGACAAGTGAACCGATTGTTCAACAATTCAGTTGCGCTGACCGCTTCACCTTTCGTTTCCCTCATTCATTTCTGCGTGGAATTGAGTTAACTGCAAACCCATTGTCTAAGTGTGTGCCGCTCTGTCGCCCCACTGGGTGCAGAGCGCGATCCTCTCGCAAGAGAGGCACAGCCTCTGGGTCAAACTCGCCAGTGAGCAAAGCAATTACCAGTAGTTCAAGGTGTTCCTGGGCCGGTGACCTGGAGGAAATCCCTGCACCTGTAGCGAAAGGGTTTGGGGCACGAGCCCAACTTGAGGGGCTGCGGGGCTTGAACAGCTGAACGGCTTGAGTTATGTATCCATATCCATGTATGTATGCATGCATGCATGCATGATGCATGGATGGATGGATGGATGTCTGCCTGGCTGGCTGGCTGTCTGTCTGTCTGTCTGTGTGTGTGTGTGTCTGTATGTATGTATGTAGGAATGTATGTAATGTAGGTATGTAGGTATGTAGGTAGGTATGTAGGTGGAGGCACGGTGATAATAGGGTCGGGCATTTTGTGCGTTTTGGACCGACTACATAGAACTTGTGATGCTGCGGTGATGTTTATGTTACATGGGGGTTACAGTATGATTGTTTACGGGTGGGGGCCGGGATAACGTCCGTTGTCGATGCAGTGCAGGTTGTGAGTCACCGTCAAGCGCGTGCGTTGTGTATGCCGCAGTTTTGCAGGTCTCAGTATGGAGCGTGTTTCCTTTCTTTTGCTTTGTCTCTTGCTTTCATTTTGTTGTTGCGGTTGGGACACTGGACAGGGGTGGATGAAGTTCCGCACTTGTTGAAAGGGTGGTTTGAGGTGGACCCGTTCTACATTGATAGCCTGTTGAAGGCCTTTTGTGATGCTTCCACCCCTGCTCCTTTTGTGGCTGCCACTCTTGACTCTTGACATAGTATTGTAATCAGATAGGTGGCCTGTCAACTTTGATACATTGCATGAGAACTATTTGCTGTTGCTTACAGTTTGGCACTCCTTCTACCAAGAAATGTTACTGGTGAACACCGATCTGGAAAAGCATCTGGGCAATCCACCAACACAGTTCCATACAGATGGTGCACGTGCTTGGCCACGGTGGCCCAAAACCAAGGCAAGAAGCAGCTGGCCTCTCTTTTCATGTCAGCCACAACAAACATGAATTTGCCAAGAAAATCAAGCCCATGAAACGTCCAGGGTTCGTGGTCTCAGGCACACAATGTGTCGACAGATGGTGGAGAAAGAAAGGGGGTGGCATCTTGGAGCGCCTGATGAACTACGTCTACGCTTTCGTTTGGCGCTCCAACTTAGATGCAGATGTTGACCTGACAAGAGCGCTCGGGAAGCTCTGAAAAAAGGTTTGGTGCCAACTACTCCGGCCGTCGAAACAAACAAGCACGGAAACGGGGTAGATATGCTGAGGTGACGGAAAGCGCTGTAGCGCTTGGAAGTATTACTGAAAGGGGAGGGGGGAATGGGGGGGAGCCAAGCTGATGACGGAAAGCGATGAATATCGCTTTGAGTTTCTCCCCGGTAGGTTTTGCTGGGGGGGGGGGGGGTGGGGGGGGGTGAAAGTTCGAGATTGTGATGTGCAGACTTTTGGGGTGTCTTGAGGCAGGCTCGAAGGTGCAAAAAACACTGTAATTTACAGTAAAAAGTTGCTTTGGGTGGGTTTGTGTTGAGCTTATTTGCCCTCAAAAAGTTGCATTTTACCTGCACGGGAGGCAATTGTTGATGTTTTTATTGTTTTCCGGCATTCAAAGGCTGTGAAGGGCAATGTTCATAAAACACTGGTAAACACAGCAAAAAATAAGACTTTCTGGGATCATTAATGCACTGTTTTTTGACAAACTGGGCCCCGACTTTCCACAAGGGCATCGGATACAAAAATGACAGAGAAAATGCTAAAAAAGTCGCCGGCGTTCCACAGGACCACTTGCATCACTACGAGGTGCACGGGAGGCACAAAGATTACAGAAGAGATGGTAACAAAGCAAATCAACTTAAGATGATAATTTTTTGACACCAAGGCCCACAAGAAGACAGAAAGAGCACAGACGAGACAAAAACAAAGCAAATCAACTTAAGATGAGAGTTTTTTTGGCACCAAGGCCCACAAGAAGACAGAAAGAGCACAGAAGATACAGCAACAAAGCAAGAGAGTTTTTGGACACCAAGGCCCACAAGAAGACAGAAAGAGCACAGAAGAGACAGGAACAAAGCAAATCAACTTAAGATGAGAGGTTTTTTGACACCAAGGCCCACAAGAAGACATACAGAGCACAGAAGAGACAGAAACAAAGCAAATCAACTTAACGTGAGAGATTTCTTGACACCAAGGCCCACAAGAAGACAGACAGAGCACAGAAGAGACAGAAACAAAGCAAATCAACTTAAGATGAAAGTTTTTTGGCGCCAAGGCCCACAAGAAGACAGAAAGAGCACAGAAGAGACAGAAACAAAGCAAATCAACTTAAGATGAGAGTTTTTTTGGCACCAAGGCCCACAAGAAGACAGAAAGAGCACAGAAGAGACAGAAGCAAAGCAAATCAACTTAAAGCAAATCAATTTAAGATTAGAGTTTTTTGACACCAAGGCCGACAAGAAGACAGAAAGAGCACAGAAGAGACAGAAGCAAAGCAAACCAACTTAAGATGAGAGTTTTTTGACACCAAGGCCCACAAGAAGAGAGAAAGAGCACAGAAGAGACAAGGCCCACAAGAAGAGAGAAAGAGCACAGAAGAGACAGAAACAAAGCAAACCAACTTAAGGTGAGAGTTTTCTTGACACCAACGCCCACAAGAAGACAGACAGAGCACAGAAGAGACAGAAACACAGCAAATCAACTTGAGATGAGAGTTTTTTGACACCAAGGCCCACAAGAAGACAGAAAGAGCACAGAAGAGACAGTTTATTGACAGCAAGGCCCACAAGAAGACAGAAAGAGCACAGAAGAGACAGAAAAAAACCAATCAACTTAAGATGAGAGTTTTTTGGCACCAAAGCCCACAAGAAGACAGAAAGAGCACAGAAGAGACAGAAACAAAGCAAATCAACTTAAGATGAGAGTTTTTTGGGCACCAAGGCCCACAAGAAGACAGAAAGAGCACAGAAGAGACAGAAACAAAGCAAATCAACTTAAGGTGAGAGTTTTTTGACACCAAGGCCCACAAGAAGACAGAAAGAGCACAGAAGAGACAGAAACAAAGCAAATCAACTTAAGATGAGAGGTTTTTGGACACCAAGGCCCACAAGAAGACAGAAAGAGCACAGAAGAGACAGAAACAAAGCAAATCAACTTAAGGTGCGAGTTTTCTTGACACCAACGCTCACAAGAAGACAGACAGAGCACAGAAGAGACAGAAACAAAGCAAACCAACTTAAGATGATAGTTTTTTGACACCAAGGCGCACAAGAAGACAGAAAGAGCACAGAAGAGACAGAAACAAGGCAAATCAACTTAAGATGAGAGTTTTTTGACACCAAGGCCCACAAGAAGACAGAAAGAGCACAGAAGAGACAGAAACAAAGCAAATCAACTTAAGATGAAAGTTTTTGGGCGCCAAGGCCCACAAGAAGACAGAAAGAGCACAGAAGAGACAGAAACAAAGCAAATCAGCTTAAGATGAGAGTTTTTTGGGCACCAAGGCCCACAAGAAGACAGAAAGAGCACAGAAGAGACAGAAACAAAGCAAATCAACTTGAGATGAGAGTTTTTTGACACCAAGGCCCACAAG